CCAGCGATCAGGAGAGCCGGGAGCTCCAAGGGACTGAAACCCAAGACACTGCAGGGAACCGACGACAAAGACATCTGTCTACCCAAATGAAAGATGTGCAAAACTTGAATCAAGACAGCAGACACCTGCACCCCAATGTTCATAGCAGCACTATTTACAATAGCCAAGACATGGAAACAGCCTCAATGTCCATTGACAGATGGCTGGATAAAGATGTGGTATATTTATACAGTGGGATCAGGTACTTGAAGCAGAATGGCAGGCAAAATACTCCTCTTATGTTTAATTATTAACTCTTTTTTTAAGATGTTGTTTTTGTTTTTATGATGAGCCCTTACAATTAAATGTGTGTGCGTTACATGCAAATATGATGCAGCCACGGTGCAGGGGTCTTGTTCTCTTTTCTAACAATCACTGAATATAGAGCTAAAAAGTTCCTGATATATCAGGCAGGGCTGTCCTTTGCCCTCTGGAAATTCTGTTTCTGAACTATCCAAGCAGATTCTGCAGAATGTTGAAGGGGTAAGATTTCCTTCACCACAGGACAGGCCTGGAATGAGAATTTCTTAATTAGGAAACATTACAAACAGTCAAAACTATGAAGCTTTTCGGTGAAATTATCACTAGTGAACATAAGTTATAAGTTAATTCTAATTTAGGAGTCATGACATTGAGCAAACGCCTTTGTAATATTTATTCAAGTCATAAATTCTAATATGTGCTCATACGACACTCTTGAGAGACATTCATAAAAATTACGACTTATCAACAGGGTGAGCAAATACATATGAATCATTTCTTTTGGAAAAAAAAAAAAGGCCAGCAGCATGTAAGGAAATAATGTTCAAGGCTGTATCTCAACTGAAAAAACACGGTTAAAAACCGAATGCTACAGTAAATTCCTGATCAATTTCCTTTCCTAAGCAGCCTGTCAAGTAAGAGGCAAAGATTTTCAGCCACCTAGCTGAGCAGTAATCTTGCTCACATTTAAAATAAAACCCTATAAAAGCACTCTTAATTCCCTTCTAGATACTTTTAAGAAAGCGTTTCCAGCTCCAAAAAAAAATCAAATAATGGAAATAAACATTCAGCGGTAAGAAGAGAGGGAATGATAGCACGACTGAAAAGAAAAGCTGATTAAAGGCATGTTCATCCCTGTCTTAACTAATCCACTGTTTTAAATGAAGCAACACTTTGTAAAGAAAGCATGTATCATGTGCCTTAAGTAATTATTTAAACTCCTAGAGCACTAATCATTTTATCATTCTATGACCTAAGAAGGGAACTTTGTTATAGTTTCACATTTGGAATCAGGACTAGCCCCGAGAGAAAATTATTTGGAAAATAATAAAGAAATGGATCCAAATGACCTAAACAAATAATAGAAGGAACAGTGAGTCCATTTTTGGTTTTCAAGCTTGCCCCAATAATAACCTTCCATTTCTCCAGTGCCATTTAATTTGCAAAGCACTTCCTTTGGCTCACGTCAGCCTATGGAGTAGGCAGAGCATGCGCTCTCTGCGTTTAACAGATGAGGGGTGCAAGACCAGAGAGGTTACAAGGCTTGCCCTAAGACTGAATCAGCAAACTCCAGCCCATGCACTAAATCTGCTCTTGGCTGTTTGTTTTAACCATGAGGTTAAGAACAGCTTTCACATTTTGCAAATAGCCTTTGTAAGTCAGCCTCACTAGCTGGCTTATCCACTGCCCAAGGGCTACGTCTGCACAAACAATAGGCAGAAGAGTTGCAGCAGAGACTACAGAGCCCTCAAAGCCAAAAATATTTACTCTCTGGCCCTTTAAAGTTTGCTGACCCTGGCTCGAGACCCCCAGGGGAGCCATCAGTAGAGCCCAGACTGAGGGGATCAACCCAGTGTTCTTTCCACTCATTCTGTTGCCTCTCCTTAAACCATTTCAACATGTGGTTCGTCCCTGGCATGTGTTTGAGAGATAAGAGGGAGTTTATGAAGCAGGAATGCAAGTACTTGAAGTAGAAAGAAGGCACTGAGAATGGAGCCAGAGACAGCAATGGGGGAGGAGACAGGTAGCACTGACTCATCTCCTAGCTTCACTCATCTGCGGAAGAAGAGGAATTCTGCTCCAGGATGGACCATAGCCAGAGACTCACCCACCCCTGATTTGGAGGATTTAAATGATGAGATTGGGGGCCTTTTGGGTTGACATTTAGATTAGCCTTCAGACTTACAGTTAATGCTGGAATGGGTTAAGACTTTGGGGTATATAGGAATGGGGTGAATGTATTTTGTTTCTGGGATGGACAATCTGTGGGGGCAGAGGGCAGACTGTGCTAGGTTGAATAGTGCTCCCCTGAAATTCAGGCAAACCCCAAACCTCAGAAAGTAACTACTTGGAAATAGGGTCTTTGTAGATGTAATCAAGCTATGGTGAGGTCACACTGGATTAGGATGGGCCCTACCCAGAGACTGGTGTCCTCATAAGAAGAGGGAGATTCAGACACAAGCAGAGAGGAGGATGCCATATGAACACAGAGACACACACGGGAGGGAATGCTATATGAAGACAGAGTCAGTAATGGGTTGACGAATTTATAAGCCAAAGGACCCTGAAGATTGCCAGCAACCACCAAAAGCCAGGAGAGCAGCATGGAACAGAGCCTCCCCGAGAGCCTCTAGTTGGAACCAGTCACCGTGATTTCAGACTTCCAGACTTCAGAACCGTGAAGGAATAAATCTGTTTCAAGCCACCCAGTTCAAGGTCCTGTGTTATGGCAGCTGCAAGGAAACTAACGCAGATTAGTGGGCAAGTGGACATGGCCTTATGAAAAAGAATTAAGATCAAGAGGAAGGAAGAAAGTGGTGGAACGTCCAACCCTATAAAACCTTTTTGTGTGAAATATAAACTTGGAGTACCTCTAGAAGACCTTGAGGGAAAACCAAACCAAAACAAACCCAGAGACCTACTAAATCTGATCAGGTTTACCAACACCCATTGCCAAGGTAAGCAGCACCGACTTCTATTTGAGCCTTTTCTTCTCAACAGGCCTATTTACAAATCTACCCCTAAATTCCAAGCTTTCCCCAGCCACCCCATTCTGACTGGGAAACAAAATGCCTCTTTACAAAGAAGGAAAATACATTAACTAAAATCACCACAAGGACGTTCCTGACATACCTCTTCTCTGAAATAATCTTAAATTTCCACAGATGGCCTTATTTTTAAAATAACTTGCACGGGGTTTTTCTTTTCTTTTTTTTAATGCACACATTCAAAAAGGTATAATGCGTGTATTCAAAACCAACGTGTATAGGAATCATCAGAATCACTTCTAGAATCTCCGGAAGGCTCAGTATGGACCCCGCATGTGACCTGGCACCAGATGGAGTAAAAGCTAACTCCCACCACGGCCCCCGCACGTGCACACACATACACACACTTTTCAGCCTGACACTGTTCAAGGTTGAAGCTATAGCCAAGACACACCCCTTCATTTCCTCAAGACTGCAAGGAGATGGTGGTAAAGACATGGGGTTGCAGTCACACTATAAAGATACATCTAAAATTCGGTGCAAGCTGTGTTCTCCTATGTAGCCCAGCCACTGAGTAATACAAGCATTAGATCCATTGCTACGAAACTCTTCGTATATATCACATATATAAAATATACATGAAAACAGGTGCCACAAGTTCATGATGTCCCTGAGGTCCACACGTAAGCCTTTAAGCCATTCTGGCGTTTTAGCAGCTAAATTCTTTTTTTAATTTTTTTAAATGTTTTTCAAATTGAAGTATAGTTGATTTCAATGTGTTAGTTCCTGGTGTACAGCATGGTGATTCAGATATATATATATATGTATGTATTCTTTTTCATTATAGGTTATTGCAAGATACTGAATATAGTTCCCTCCGCTGTATAGTAGGACCTAGTTGTTTATCTGTTTTATATACAGTAGTTTGTATCTGCAAGTCTCAAACTCCTAATTTATCTCTTCCCCGCTTTCCCCTTTGGTAACCATAAGTTTGTTTTTTATGTCTGTAAGTCTGTTTGTTTTGTAAATAAGTTCATTTGTATCACATTTTAGATCCACATGTAAGTGATACCATATTTGCCTTTCTGTGTCTGACTTCACTTAGTAGAATCTCTAGATCCAAGCAGACTGAGCTGCTGAATTCTTTTTAATAGATCCACAAGAGGTTCATCTTAGAATTTTTCTCTTTAGCATCACGTCATGTTGTAACTTGGTATCAATTACTTTAAATAAACCCTGTTTGTCATCTAGATTCTTAATGAGCTCAGACACAACATTTCCCTATGGCTTTACATTCCAGTATACCATATAAAATTTTTTTTGTCTCTTCCTCCCACCCTCCTGCCTCATTATTTTCCTACAGTCTTAAACACATGTGTATTTCAAATAACCCCAGGTGACAGGAAAGCCAGTGGCAGCTTGATATCCTTGCTTTATGAGAGTCCATTGCTAGTTGGGACAAGAGCTTCACTCTTCATAAACCACCACTTAGCTCCTAAGAAGGGCCAGCTCCCAAAACAAACAAACAAAACCCGCTGACTTCTTTGAGCAGTCTGCAGGGCATTTAGGAAAATACTTCCTAAGACTGAGAATTCTTAAAAAGTTGCCCACTGTAAACCCAAGGTCTCCATGGCGCTAAGGAAGTTAGAAATTAACCAGGTATCTTAGCCAAAAGAAAAGATGTGTCTGTGTGTCTTTCTTTTCTCAGCACCTGAAAAAAGCCACCGAAAGGACTACCCACACTTCTGAATCATGGCGCAATGGGAAGCAACACACTGCTTTTGTGCTAGAACTTCTGCAGAAATAAGACTGCAGGGCTGTTACTAAATTCACCACAATCTTTGGGAGGAACTCTGCCCTGAGCCTGAGCTCCAGAGCTGCTTTTGGCCGCTGACAGAAGCACCCAATAAATCTTTTAGTTCAGAGACACAGGCCGACCAGAAGAGGAGAGCCTGCATTCACCCATAGGTCCAACACCCTGAAGCTCCTTACCTCATTCTGCTCACACACATACTGTATCCGCAGGGTGTCCATGGCGCGGATCATGGCTTGCATGGCAGTGAATATGTTTTGGTAAACCAGCTTTGTGAACCCCTTTCTGTCTTCATCGCTGTAACCAGACCCGTGGATAATTCTCATCTGCTTGATAAAGGTGCTTTTGCCACTTTCACCAGTTCCTAATAAGACAAAACAAGTGAAAAAACGTAGTCAGCAGTCTTTCAAAGGAACTCACTGAGAAAGAAAGGACCTCCAGGCAGGGTTGGCCAATATTAGGAGTACGAGGTGGATGGGGTGGACTTGGAAAGGGCCTGCTGAATGCTTACACAGTTTAAGCTGGAGAGTAATACCATCCTAAACCCCTGGGCAGAGGGGTCCTTACCCTGTGCTCTAGAAGGCCTTGAATATCACACGCATGTGCACACACGATTTATTGAGGACACACGAGTGTCCCTGTCTCTAGGAGCAATCCTAACCATCAGCTCTTGTGACTGACACTGTGTAGGCCCCAGGGAACCACCCACGCCCCGCATCCCTTGCCCTAAGACCTGGAAACATGTGTCAACAACTAGCACGCTGCAGCGGTGCAAGAAAGAACCTTCTGCTCACTGCTGCCTCCCTTCCACCTCTGGAGGCAGGAAAGGTGGGTGCTGTCTGCCCAAGCTGGGGATGAGGAAACTGGCAAGACCGATGCAAATATGGAGCTGGGATTAGAAGCCAGGCTGCCCACGCCTCGGCCTGCAAGTTTCACCACAAATATCACCCCACCAAAGGAATTTTCTTCCCCTCCACCCCCAGAACAGTTAAGCCCATCCCCTTTAAGCCCTCAAAGTGCCTGTGGACACCCCAGTGGGGCACATCCCCTAAATGATTGCTTGCCGATATGTCTCTTACTACATCCTTAGTCTGGGAAGGGTAGGGCATGGGAGTCATTCATTTGGGTACCACCAACATTGTGCCAGCTAGAGAGTCAGCTCTCAGAAAGTGGCTAAATAAAGCAAACTAAATGTCCATCGACAGATGAGTGGATAAACAATCTGTGGTGTATTTACACAGCGGAATACTACTCAGCCATAAAAAAGAATAAAATAATGCCATTTGCAGCAGCATGGATGGACCTACAGATCATCATTCCAAGTGAAGGAAACCAGAAAGAGAAAGACCATATGATATCACTCATATGTGGAGGCTAAAAAAAAAAAAAAAGAAAAGAAAAAAGAGGACACTAGTGAACTTATCTACAAAAAGAACAGACTTGCAGACATAGTAAACAAACTTATGGTTATGGTGGGTAAGGGAGTGGGAAGGGATAAATTTGGAGTTTAAGATTTACATATGTTAAACCACTATATATAAAAATAGATTTAAAAATCACATTTCTTCTGTATAGCACAGAGAACTATATTTAATATCTTACAATGACCTTTAATGAAAAAGAATATGAAAACAAATATATGTATATATATATGCATAATTGGGACATTATGCTGTATACCAGAAATTGACACATTAAAAAAATTGAAGTATAGTCAAAGTGGCTAAATGAAAGAATGGATGTAACAAACGTTGAGAAGTCAGTCTTCCTGCATAGATCTTATAAAACGGACAACTGCAGAAAATTAAGATATGAATTGTCTAAAGATGATTGTGATAAGACCAGATGCCCCTGAAGCCACCCTTTCGTGGTGACTCTCGGTTGTTTAGACCCCGTATGATAATGTGAGGACCTGTGGGAAGACCCTACACTGTCAGAGCTTGGTCCAGAGTCCTGGATCAGATTAGATCTCTGCTCTTACAGAGTCTTGGGGTCCCTACATCTTCTTCCATCTATTACGTTGCCATGATTGCTTCTATTCCCTCCAGCAAGGTCGACCTCGGGTCCAGAGCTACCTTTCCTCAAGCTAATGTTAATACTTCTACATGGTATACACCACAAAGCTGACAGAACAGAGAGATAATATAACCATCTCAAGGCACACTACAACTTGGGCCCTCTTAAGCCAGAAAAATCACTCAAGACTCACCCCAAAGTTCTACCCCAGGGTAGAGAACCTTTTCAGATATTACAGCCATTCACCTACAAAAAGGTAAAGCCAACCACGCTACCAGCCCCAAACACAGAAACATTTTTAAAAAGCCATGATTTTGCTTTTGGACCTGGAACACTTTGAAAAGAAAAGGTTACAAGTGATTTTGAAGATTAATTAAAAAGAAGTTATAAATGTATTCTATCAATACTAATAGTTTAAAATATTCTTAAGTTCTATATTGTGATTATTTGAAGAATAAAAAACCAAATATGGGGCAAAAAAAGGATAGGCAAAGGCAAAGAAGAGACACACCCCCCAGGGCTGAGGTCACGAGAGCAGAGACTGGATGTGGGGCAGCCTCTCACTCTCAGTTAAGACTCAACACAACCCAGCTTGTATCTTCTTTTTCCAGAAGGGACACTGAAAATCAAAAAGATTACACAGTTTATATAATCTTTGTCCAAGGTCAAAGTTTGTCTGAGGTCACTCAGCTTGGAAGTGTTGAGTCTTGAGTCTAAATCCAGATCTACATTGATATATCCACTTCCCACAATAACACCATGTACACTGAGTGTTTTCCCAAATAAATGGCCAAGCCACACCCTCCTATCAGCTAAAGCACTGACTTCATCTGGTACTGAGACTCTAACACTTGGGACTTTAGTTCTTCAGAGCTCTGCTCTAAATGAGCCAGTTCCAATAGCAGAGGGGGGCTGAGGTGGCGGCGGACACATGAGAGGAAAGTCATTCTTGGCAATGACGGCTGTGACCAGGACCAGGGGACCAGTAAACTCAAGCTAAGGGTCTGAGCTGAGTTTCCTTAATTCTTCTAAACAGAAACTCAACACTTATACAGTAAGTGCAACTGTTCACTTATTCTGGACGAGTAAAAGAAACATCTAAAGGATATGATTTTTAGAATGAGAATTATCTTTGATTGGAGGATTAGGTGACCTAGCTTTGACATCTTACCTAATTGCACATTAGAATGTATGGTTTGGGTCAGTAGCGTGGATCCACTCTCCTTTGTTTCTTATCCCTTTGTGAGAACTTTCTCATGGACTCCCCCACAATATCAACATGCAGGTGGGCGCCCCTCCCGGGCCCCCGCCGACAGCAGGAGAATGTGAGCCCTCACTCTGGGAGCAGCATTTTGGTTCACAGGGAGGAGGAAGCCTTTGGTTCGAAGGCGAACTTTGGTGTCAGGTGACCAAGAGATTTAATCAGATGAGACAAGGGAGGGGAGACAGGGGAGGGGACCGCAGCCCAGAGGACTTTCGCTCCTGAATCCAATGTGGTTAAAACACAGGGCACGGAAAGGAGTAAAACTGCAATTCCATCTCTAGATTCTGTTCCAATTGTAAGTAAGGGGAACGCCTGCTCTCCTCCATTTAGTTTTTGCTTCACTATTTTCATACTTGGGGCGGGGGCGGTGGTCAACAATGGGTCATAAGTACTGCAAAACTTTCATTAAGAGCCTGCTAGTTTGAGGTTCTTACTTATCCTACCACAAATGTGGTCTGTAATAAAATCAGCAGGCAACTTCTGGGCAAGGCACTCTGGCTGGTAACAGATTCCCCAGAGGGCCTGGCGCGCGTTCCCTGCTTTGTGCCCTCTGACCTCCAGGCAGGAGACCAACCTGCTTCTCCCAACTGCTTCTCGTAAGGCTCGCATACTCTTCTGAGTCTCTCACTACAGCGTTCTGCCAGGATCCTCTGCCTCGCCCAGCCTTCAACATGAGTTATTTCCTTTTCCAGCACAGACGCTCAGTTAAGTGGTTACTCCACACTTACGTGGCTGGCCGTCCTGGCACGGTCAGCACATATGGATAACTTGTGTTCCATTTAAGTGAAAGTTCAGCTCCGTGGGCTTCCTGCTTCTGTGGGTGGAGGTGGGCACTTTGCAGGGCTGGGAGCTTTTCTCAAGACGCTGACTCCTGGCATCAACTTCACCAGGAGTAAACTCACCAGGAGTTTCCTCAAACTCCATCATCTGTGTACCTGCCCTGCTATTTTTATCATATCCATGTACCATTCTGTACGATTATATAATATTGAAGTTTTTTTTTATTTAAATAAGCTTGTTATGTAAGGAAACATGAACGTCATGAGTGAAAAGCCAGTATTGTCTGCCATGAGGACTCACATTAAATACATTATCATAAGACTTCAGTGATATTGTAACTACAAGCATCTTGTCTATCCCCAGTGATCTGTGTATTTTTTTTCAGAAAACAATGCACACAAATTATTGTCCTCTTTATGTGAAATGGAGCCATTTACTCTCCATCCTTAAAGGAGCTTTCTCTCTCCTTCTCTCTAGAGGCTTCTGAAATTCTACCCATGAACCTCACCCACATACAAAAACACTGAAGGTTGAAACTCATGTAGCTGAAAAGGGTCCAGCAAAATGTCTCAGCACTAAAATTCTAAACTCTTTCTGATATGTGAGAAAGCCATGAGGTTCAAGTTTCAGCTTAATTTTGAACACACAAAAGGCTGGGGGGAGGGGCGGGGAAGTTGCTTTTGAGGAGACAGGAGGAAACAGAGGCCAAAGTAAAATAAATCCTTTCCAAGTGATAGACCAAGGACATTTACACAGAAAGCCAATTGTTCTCAAGTTCACTACAACCTTGAGTTAAGACCGCCTCCCCGAGAGTCAAAGCGAGGAGCTGATAAAGCTTCTCAGATGGGCAGAGCCACCTCCCGCAGTCTGTGATGTGTTCTCAAACTATCTAGGGGAAACTGCTGTTTTCAGCTCCGTGTTACAGAAGACAATGTACATAAACAGAACAAAAGTGGGGACACAATTCTGGACGCTGGTGTATATGATCTACGAGACCAACGGGTAGAAGAACGTATGGACATTCTCACGTGACTGGCAGGCTGGCTCTGTGGGGACAGGGCCTTATCGCACTTGTTCCCTGGTATCTTTGGAGCCTAGATCAGAGCACAGAGTGCAAGTCTGACAGACATTCGTGCTTGGGTATTTATTGACTTAAGACAACCAGGACGAGCACGGTTTGGGAAAGCGATATAGGAAGAGGGTTTGCCTGGCCAGGAGAGACTCTGGACTAACTGGATGAGTCTGCTGAGTACACAAAGCAGCCTCCCACGGGAGCAGGCGCCCTGCCACTTGCCCGGTCTGAT